TAACTAAAACAGTTAAAAGCGGATAAATCAAGAAGATAATCGACCTTTCAAATAGTAATTTATTTAAATGCAAAAATTGAATAATTTACGTATCTTTAAGCTTGAAGGGATGCCAGTGATACATGACTTGACCGCGCAAACTTGTACTGAATGTCACGTACCAGTACACGCGCAAAAATTCTACTTCGTTTTTTGCTGAAATATGTACTTTTTATCGATTTCCGTTTCTTATACGTCATTGTCAGACAACATACAAAGTGTTTATTATTTATCTCAAATATTTTAAATTATATAACAGCAAGGACTCTTTTAGTCGCCGGCGACGGAGCCGTTCGCAGGCGGCGAAAATCGCCGGTCGCCGGCCGAAAAGGAAAACCCTGAGTCATTGTAAGTTAATGGTCAATCGTTGAAATTACTTGATGGGTGTGGTCATTTTCGACCATACAAAACAGAGCTGTCATAATAAAACGTTGAACTACCCCTGAAGTCTTGAACCAGTTTGTTATAATTATCAATGCTCCTCTAAGAGTTGAGCGCTCTTTGAAATACATTCAAATCAAGTTCAAGAATGTATATATATATATGCTAATTCTTAAAAAAAAGGAAGGTTTGAATAACAAAAGGAAAATAAACACCTTGACCTATCATAAGTCAAATGAACAATTCCTTTGAAATATTTCAAATTCAAGTAATCACGGTCAAAACATAATATGCCTAATAACAGCAGTTCCTAAATATATATATATGCTAAAATGTTTAAAACATTGAAAGTGCAAGAATAAATTAATCTCGCATTGATCTTATCAAAATTCAAAGTACACTTGACTTGCAATAATTTGAACTTTCAAGTTAACAGGAGTTTAAGTTGAATTATTGAGAGTCAACTGTATGTTAAAGTGCATTGGTGGGTCTACTAAAGGGAGAAGGGCAGTTACATTGTAAAGTAACTAGAACACTGTAGTAATGAGTGTGTGAAAAAAAAATTTCCAATGGCTTCTTTACTTGTGTTCCTGTTTTACTTTTTTGCATTTTTTTTTCTCTTCAGTAAGGAACTTGTGAGAGAGATTTGATCTCTGAAAATTCTTAAGTAAAATTTTTTTTAACAAGAAATTGCTAAATGTTTTGTCTTCTAGAGTTTCAGATGTGCTAGGGTACAAACCCCAAGAACTTTTGAATGAAGTGTGTTATGACTTTTTCCATCCTGATGACCTGGAACATATGATGGAAAGTTATCAACAAGGTACTTCTGTTACAAAACCAGAATGTAGAATGTTCACAAATAATTTACCTCAAATTAACTTGACATATAATAATACTACTTTATTCAAATACACGATACATATTTGAAAAGGTGGACCATGAGGTTATCCATATAAAGGTCCCCTACCCCCAACTCCCAGTAAACAGGCCAGACCACATTACAGTAATCTCATGAGTGGGTTCTTTAACGTCCCCTGCCTAACAAATTAACTAATTAATAAATGCAGGAGACTGGACTTATGGTTTATTCGTCCTTACATGAGAAGACTAGAAAGTCTAGATCCATTTCTTGATATTATAGAAAGGTAGCACAGCCTCCTCAGTATTTTAAGACTTTGCCGGGGCTCAAACCCTCAACCTCCCGTTCAACAGTCCGGCGCTCTAATCAATTGAGCTAACTTGGAGGTAGTGTAATGTACATATGATTTAAATTGCTTCCTTGGGTCACTAGGAATAATCATTGTTTGGTATTTGTGGATGCAGTACAAGATTAATGAATTAAGAGTTTGGTGTATCACCAAGAAATTTAGTTTTCATTTTGATAAAGTTTGGTCTTAAAAAAAAAAAAAAAAACTGTATGGCAGAGAAACACTAGGAAACAACTTCTTTGGATAGTTTATTTTAAGGTTGTATTAATGGAACAAAATCACTGATTGGTTTCATATGTAACCTGTACCAAGTCTAGTCCTTTTCTCAACTAGCATTATTTTATGATTGCAGTAATGAAACTGAAGGGACAAACACTTTCTGTGAGGTATAGATTCCGTGCCAAGGATGGCAGCTGGGTGTGGCTACGAACAAGCTGTCACAGTTTTCAGAATCCTTACACTGATGAAGCAGAATACATTGTTTGCACTAACTGCCGTGGTCAACCGTGAGTACATATAATCCATTTACATTATAGGAGCTCAAGTTAGATTACATACTTGTACTTTGAATTAGATCATAGGGAAAACTCTTGTTGTACAAAGACTGGATGTTAATCATGGTAACCTTTACTAACCTACTTCTTCTTTTCTGCTATTTGAGTAGTGGCAGTATGCAGCCTGTCACCCTAAACCTGTCCAGCCCAACTATAAACTCCACTCGCAGTGGGCCACTGACCGGCAGTACAGATTATTCTGACATATCTCCTCGCACAGACCTAACAAGCCCTGACTCTGGAGTGTCCATGTATCAGAGACACGCCCAGCTTGCTCCAGTGCGAGATGATGCCATTCATCTTTATACACAAGGAGGTGCAGTCCCAAAAGGTGACACACTTAAGTTAATTCATTCTTAAATAATATTATGGCAATGTGACAGTAAAATATAGATAAAAAAGTTCATGTTTGAATGGAAATAATTTTTTTTTCAGCATCCCAACGTTTGGAAGGTGGCTTGGAAGCTCTTTCTAAGGTTTGTAACCCCCAATTTATTTTTGCTCTCTAAAATACACCACTTACTAGACTGTGGTGGTGTAGAAATTAGAATTTTGCTGACATCCTCACTGGTTGTGCCATTAAGCATAATTTAGGCTTCTTTATCTTCAACTGAAATTTCTCCCTGGACTTCTAGTCAGGTTTGGGGTCTTACTGTCTCAGAGAACCTTTCCATGCAGAAGTAAGAATAGGTACCAGTGAGCAGTAGCTTAGTGTGGGTACAAGGTGTATTTGTTTATTTTGCCATTTTGTTATTACAATACATCACAAGAAATAACAGGAATTACATAATACATCAATATGATATAACTGAGAATTTAGCATATGGCAAGGAAACCTGTAGAGTAACCAAGAGGCTTATGCAAGCTGCAGGTTCCTCTTATTTTACAAGAGTGAAGTATCAGTTATATGTTACTAGCAGGTAATTTGTAATGTACCTTTTTACCATTCATCCAGGGGTCATAACAGTAAATGTCACATTATACCACAGAAATGAGGAGATGCCTTACTAGCTGAGTGAGGAAGTATCCTTGTTTAATACTTAAATGTTTTTACTGTCTTCTCTCCTTCTCTCTGGCCAACATCATGATATACCCAGTAGAGTTAATTGAAGGGTTATCTTTCCAGGCCAGTGAGCTTACTGACAAGAGAGGTAATGTTTCACCTAACACTCCGACTGCTCAAGTACCCAAGAAATCTGACGGCTCAATGGTTATTCCAGTAACTAGTGCAACAACACAGAGACTTCCACCAGGAATTATTCAACATGCCATGGAACATGGCACTGGTAAGACACTAGATGTCTATTTGAGGGTTAATGTTTGATCCAAGTATTTCATTTTCAGCACTGTAACAAGATAGGCAAATACAGTCAATTTTAATGAATTGACACTTAAAAGGAATAAATAAATTATTTTTTCATCCAAAAAGATTATTTTCACCGAACTTTGAATTTGTATGCTACTCCTATTTGTTGTAACTGTTAACTTTTTTTCTGAGGAATGTGATTAAATGGAATAGTATGGTAATGCAACAGAATGAGGAAGGGCTAATGCTTGAAATGTCAACTGATAAACTCTTTACAGTGGCTAATTCACATTATCAACTCAGTTAAAAAAAATAAAGAAACAAGTTATCTAGTTTGATTGTACATTGCCACCAGTTGTTTTTTTCCTCAGATTTTATAATATGTCAAAAGTAATAATTGATATGGAAGATTTTGCAAAAGGAAGTAAAAAACATTGTGCTAGCATACAGGTATAATTCACCCAAAAGAGGAATTGAGGAGCATTTTTTCTTGTCTCTAAAGGGGTGGGGGATGAACTGGAGATAGTTTGTGATAAGGTAATCAATGGAATCTCCTTTACCTGGAAGGTGTATTTATGACACTGCTCAGAGTGAAGCAAAGAACAGTTGGTAAATCTTTTGTTGTATTCATGTGTTATTTTGTAGTTGACTTGGACAGTGCTGAGTTTTCTGCTGGCCAAGCTGGCAGTCTGCTTGCAGCCATGGTTCAGCGGAGAAATGCCATTGCTGCAGTTTCTCCAGGCCAAACACAGCAGGGTGGGTACCCTCTCATTTCCCAGATGAATGGCAACATGGCCACTATTATGAGACCTGGAAATATGGGAGGACAACAAAGAGCCATGGGTCCAATGTCACCAATGGAGATTATGAGAGCACAAATTCCACGCAACATGGCTGACATGAATTCCCCTGGAATGATGGTTTATGGCAGTGCCACAACAACTCGGAATGGTCAAACCCCTGGCAAGAACACAGTTGACACTGGCCAAAAGAGTGGGTATCCACAGGTAATGAATGATGGTGTAAGTGGAAGAGATATGATGTCTGGAGCATGGGCACACCAGAATGTTATGGTGAGACCTATTAGAGAAGGTGAGATGAAGCCAACAGCACCTGGAGGAATGCCTCTTGCATCACAGGTGGATGCTGCCACACAACAAGGGATGTATACTGGAATGAGACCACCTGGGGACCCATCCAACTTGCGAGGCCCTACACAGGGATATCATTACTACCAATAACCCTATAAAGCCCAGAAGTAGAAAATATACTCACTGAAACACATGAATCAGGACTTACTTTACTTTGTTTGTGCAGCAAAGTCAAATCTGCCTAAATGGATTTGCCACTGACATCTCTCATGGTTGGTGAAAATGCAGAAGGCTGAATGTATATGTATCACGGAAAAGATCGATAATTTTCACTGGTGTTATATAACCATTATGGTAATTAGCAAGAGGCAAAGATTATTTGCCAAAAAACTTTGAGAATGAAGTCATTACAGGGATTGCATCAATATGGAGACAGTGGGTATCACCAGACTTATCATATTTAACAAAGCTAACAAGCAACTATGATGTCCAAAAGATCTGCATAAGAATTTCCTAAAACATATTTCACAACTGTAGACCTGTTGAAACTGTAGAAGTGTGTAAGTAACTTGTCTTTTTTAAATAATAGGATTACCATAATTATGGAAGATTTTTATCTAGTCCCTTTATGCTCTCATCTTCATTTCACTGTTTATTATCTAACTTTCATTTTAGAGAGAACCAACAAGTGCTAGACAAATTATTTTTTTGGACCCATGGTATCTACCATTAATATTGTTTGTGATAAAAAAATAGTCTAGGTGTTTCGGCAACCTTGAAATGTACAAGAGCTATATACTTACTTCCATATGCATAAGCCTTTAAACTGTGCATTGTTGTGGGAACCCTCACACTAGCTTGGTTAGTTCTGTTTTACACAACATCTTCTCTTTTGATACCATAATATCCAACCTCATTCTTGCAGGAACTTTTTATCTTAAAGATCTGTCACTGTACTCTCTAACAGGATTATTTTCTACCAGCAAAACAATTAAACTGACATTAAATAGTTAATATAAATGATCTCCAAGCTAAAAGGAAACTTATATCATAGGCTTAACATGGGATTGACATGGACTGTTCACAAGAAAACCTTTGCATTCAATTGAAAGTGAACATTTTTGTATTGTCCGAGTACATATACTAAAGAGATTTTTATTGTTCATATCCTTTAAACATGACACTGTCCTCTGTGATCTTCCTGTGGTCTCTAGTTTACTTGTAGTAGCAGTGACTTTCACCTTGAGTGTTGTGGTTTTCATACCTCCAAAAATAACCACAAAGCAAGCTTACATAGCTGGAGGTATTGTTCTTTGTGTGTGAGGTCAAAAGACGTATCTCCTGCATTTTAATAAAGGTTCGTGTTAATTATATGCAATCTGTGTTTATCTCCACTCTCCTTAGCCATGGCATGATACTTCCCCTTCTTACCAAACTAACACTTTAGATTCATGTGTTATCTGCCCTAATCTCTTCAATCCTCATCCTGATTTGCTCTTTCTTGGTTAATTATTAATCCTTTTGCTTTTTCCTGTCCCACCAAACTTGCAGTATGCTTCAAGGTTTAGGGAATGGTTTCACTGCCACTAACCTTGCCTTGCACATCAGTAAGACTTCAGTGAAATTGGCTGCTATAGGAAATCTAACTGTTGTGCAAACAATCCTGCTAGCCATGTAATCTGTGACAAAAGGTCCATGCGAGTTACAGAAAAAGAGGTATCAAAGAGCTCCAGATAGTTTGTAGTATATTTGTGGACAAAAGTATTGGGTACATAATTACTGGTGCACAGAAAGACATTTGACAAAAAAAATTTTTTTTCAGAGAGACTTTGTTTTATTAAAAGTAGGTGTAGCCTTAGATACTGTTGTGGTAGTGTTGTAATTAATAATAAATCTTATTCTGAGGTGTCTTCTGTTTATTGTTGTAGTTTTATGTTTGTATCAGTAGGTCATTAAGTGGCAGAAAAAGAACTGTCATTACATTACGTCATTTTTGTTAGTCTCGATTAATTTTAATTTTTAGCAGTGATCCACAGGTCCAGACCCTCGCTACTACTTTCAGACCTGTAGGTTTTCTTTACCACCAGTCAGATTTGAGGTATTTTTGTCATCTTGTCTTGAATAAAGGGAAGGGGGGGGGGTTAGCATGGGTCTGTGGACCTTCCTATCAAAGGTTTGTTGGCAACCCCCTTTAGCTGTCTTTCATTAACCAATGAATTGCCCCAGAAGAGCTGGTCATGTTACTTAAATAACACCCTCTTGCAGATCACTTCCTACAATTTCCTCACCGCATTGTGGTACAAAATTGTGAAGAGAAGTTACATGTTAATTACATCTGGGAGTTTGCAAGTGAAGATTAAACTTAATTCACTGTTACCAAAGTAACAAATTAACGGTTTGTTTGTGGACTTCCCGAACCAACATTTTGGATTCATTTTCAATCTGTCATAATCTTGTCATTCCTCAGCCCCACTTGATCTTTCTTTGTTAATTGTTAATGGCATAAAATGAAAACTTTCTTGAAGTCATGGAATCCCAAATCATTTTACACCCACACATTCTTTAGCAGAGTTGGGATCTGCTACTCTCTTAAATGGCCTTTTTTTTTGTAGAAAGTTGATACATTGATAGTATACATACTACTAATTTTTCAAAGATTGGAGATGAGTGGTTATGGCCTTTCAGTCATTACGAAGTGACAACCTTGGAACTCTACAGAGGAGTGAGGGTGTAAGCACACAGGGCAACACTAGATATGTAATAGATAAGAAAAATATGAGTTTATTTAAGTGAATAAAGGCTGATAGTTTCGAAAGAAACTGTTTGGGGCTGTGTCAGTGGGAGTAACGAAATAATTTGGATATATCAACAAAGTTGAAATGATAAGTTGGCCACTGTAACGATTACAAAAGCTGACGTTTTGAGCGTTAGCCCTTCGTCATCACTCCGATGAAGGGCTAACGCTCGAAACGTCAGCTTTTGTAATCGTTATGGTGGCCAATTTATCATTTCAACTTTGTTGATATATCCAAATTATGAGTTTATTTAGGCTTGGATGAAGACAGAATTTCTCTTTACAATACCAAGCAGACTAGTGATGAGGAAAAAAAACAAAAACTCAACTACTACTATCTTCATTGAAATTGCATGGTAGACAGTGGAGAGCTCAAGATTTAGTAATGAAAGACTAGGAGCTAAAGGGTGATGTAAATGGTTAAACTTTCAGTTTTTCCAACCTTTCTTAAAGGATAAGTTGTCTGGTTGACAAAAATAAGTGTGTCTCCTATCTCTGAAATATATTTAAAAGTATTTAAATACTTGGTTTGTAAGTGAGTGTACGAAAATTCTGAGTTGGTACTAAAGAAAATATGATCATTAAAATGTCTGATTTCTAAAACAACATTGTAGCATTTCTTGGCATCTGAATAACCTCACAGCAGGCTTCCACAGGAACTATTTAAAGCACTAGCATGGAAGCTTATAAGGAAGAGCAAGCTGGCAGACTGTGCTGGAATGTTGCCTGTGCCTGACTATCCAGTAGTTCATTCATAGCTTCAACAATTGTGCTCAGCCCAACACCAAGTGGAGGCTCATTTCACACTGGTCTGAACAGCCCATGCCTTCATCTTCTCTACTTATCCTTCAGTTTGTTGCACCATAGGCACAAAAAAATATCTATATAAAAATATATTAACCAATTTAGGAGTAGCCACTTGTACGATTTCCAAACACCACTCTTTCTTCCTTGATACCAAAGTCCAGCGGCAGAATCATCATTCCTGTATGTTCTCTCTCTTGACTAATGGCCCTTTTGACCTTTTATTTGTTGTTCTTTATCTGGAGTGGTAAATACTTTGAAAACCCAAAATCCCTGAGTCCAACATTAAGGAAATAAACCTTTTTTTTAAAATTTTACCCTGTCTGTACAGCTTATTGCATTTCATAATTAAATAACCCAGAAGATTATTAGGTTTTTAATTTACTGCATGTGTATCTAGGATACTTCTGCTGGAGTTTACCCTAGTGAACATATATTAAGGCTTGGTGTACAATTTTCAGTGGTGTTTTTGGTGAGTTAAACTACTGTAGAGGAAAGTTTTCACAACTCATCTCTCTATGTACAACTTACAACTCCAGCATACCATTAAGTCACCATCAGGAAGTCTATTTTTAGAATGTTGACTGCATCGTAAATTCATCTTACATTTAAATACACTGTACCATTTATTTTATCAGAAATACAGGATACAAGAGCTGCCACATGTAGGCAGACCATGAAGCAAACTCCATAAATGATCAGAGTTGGATAATTTTCTTGCGCTGCAGTTGCCATAGAACTATGTGCTAGCCTACAGACATGGAAATCTTGCATTAGAACATTACAATTTGGTCGATGTAAAAACGTATCGTGCAGAGTTAATACACGAAAGAACAATATGATAAGACAGCTAATCGTGTAAAACACATTGGACTTACCTTTGTAAAGAAGCTGCAGTCTGTAATAACTCGATTTCTGCTTGCACATCGATCGAAAAGATATTAAGTAACAGGTATTTTAGTGTCAGCTGAAAGCCGAGGGACAATACAAGAAGCTCTCTGATTGGTTATTCTCTAACGTCACTTAAAGGCTGTCAAGATACATCGATTAATTTGATTGGTTAAATTGAATAGCCGGTTATTTGACTTCACCCGAGTAAAGCTTCCTTCTGATTGGCTGGAAAATTAGTAACCGTTCAGTCCGCGCAGAATGCTCCGACGGCGCATGACGAATGGCTCGCGTTAGCGCCTGGGAGAGGAGGGATCCGTAGAAAATTTGACCCTTTCGTTGTGATTTTCGTGAGAATTTTGCCTTTTTTGGGTTATATGGAGTGCACACACGTTGGGCAAGCCGTGAAAGTTGGTTCAAAACTTATTCAAAAGATACGCCGTGAAAAACCGGCACAGTGGACGTGCTCAAGTACGGTTTCCCAATCGAAGAGGGTCGATTAGTTACCCTGTTCTCGCTTTCTGCTCTTTTGGTTTCACCTTTACCGGTGTTTCTAAAGAGCTCAGAATTCTGACTTAATTTCTGTGTTCTAGGTTGTAGATCAACAAAAAGTCCGTGGATATGTCTGCGTTGTGGTGTCATCAACTGCGGAAGGTACATCGCCGATAGTATATCACGGTGTTGTTTCAGTTGTTGTGTCAGGGGGGTGTCGAGACGTAGGAATGTCGCCGCACTGTTTAGCTCTCCCATGAATCTGATATCAGTTATTCACTCATAGATTAGTTTTATTAATCAAGCAGTCATTTTTACCCAGGTATGTGAATGGTCATGCTAAAGCTCACCACGAAGACAATCAACACCATTCGGTGTGTTTGGATCCAAGTTTGTCTGCGTTTTGGTGAGCACATTGTACTTCACATTGATTTGTACCTCGCTAGGAAATTCGGTGATGTCATTGGAGCTTCGTTTCCGATTTCTTGCTCGACGTTTTTGCTTACCCTTTGTGAAATTTTGACATTTTTCTATAGCTATGCTTGTGACGAATTCGTAATCAACGATACAAAATCGGGAGATATTCAGAGAGTACGCGAAATAATTTTAGAGAGAGAAAATAGGTATGTATGTACGTTTATGTAAAGAAAACGGTTGAAAAATAAGGGGAAATCGCGAAAACATTTCTTTTCATTTGAAATTAAACTCGTTGCACTTACATTAAGATGTTTTCAGTTCAATTTGTGGGCCGTGATTGTTTCTTTCTATTACGTCGTTAGGGTTATAAACTACATTAGAAGATTGCGTTATTCGTTTTATCATCGGCCGCCATGTTGTTTTCAAGCCCATGAATCACAGCGCTGCAAGTTTTTACGTGACGTAATGTTTGTCAGAGAATCGCAGTTAATTTAGTAAGAGTAGTGGATGGCAGTTTTGGAAAAGATATCTGTATAACCCCACACTCTTCTAAAACAGAGCACAAGTTGTAACAGTAATCTTTTGTCTTCCCTTTGTTTCTTCTTAAAAAGAGAGATGTGTATTTTCAAGCTTAATTTGTTTCATGTGTGGTTTGACTGATGCTGGATTTTTTCAGGCTAAATTTAATCTGTGGCCCTTGATTAACATATGTGCCCTTTTGAAATGGGATGTTAATGATTAACAAAACTCAATTTTTAATAGGAAACGTTGTCTGCAGGATACAACTTCACCTGAAAGACAAAAGAAAGCTTTGAAAGCAAATGTAAGTTAAACAATGAAGAGTGCAAAAGTGAAAAAAAAACCAACAACAACATAAGCTTTGGAAAATAAAATAATTGCAGTGCTTGTAACTTTGAAGCAATCAGACAATCACAGAATAGTAACAGGTCTACAACAACCTATTTCATAACTGGTTGAGATAGTTTTTCAGATGTTTGGAAACTGATAGATGGAGCATCTGAAAAATTTCATTGCCCTTAAAATCTAATGCCCAACCTTGTAAAAATGATTTTGCAGCTGAAATTAAAGGAAGGTATTTTAGAAATGAAAATAGAAGAGGTAAATTATGATTTTTTCGTAGAAACAAGATATTAAGTGAAATAGAAAGACATTGACCACCATTGACAGATTTGTGACTTCAATAAGCCATGTCATAAACCTTATCATGATCAAAAACAACTTTGTTTTATGTTATCTCCAGCAAGAAAATATAGGAAGGGTGAAGTACCTACCAGGTCTTCGAAATCTTGGGAACACATGTTTCATGAATGCAGTGTTGCAATCTCTAAGGTGTGTAATATATATGTTTGATATAGGTGATGTTATATATTGTTTGAGAATTAGAACATGTTGCATAGCCCTTGGCCCCCCAGGAATGACAAGCATTTTATTTCTCCTATAATAGTATTCCTTAGTCAACCAGTAAGAAGCTCTTTATTGTCAAACAAATTCTTCTTCAGGAAATATGTTGAGAATAGTTTGTTTAATGTATATGTTGATGTTAGGGGGTAAAGTTTTAATCCTTTTACATTTGTTGTTTTGTTGGTGCAGTAACATTCAATCATTCAGCTGTTATTTCAAGGACCTTCCTGCATTTGAGCTCAGAACAGATAACTCGTGTGGAAAACAGCCCTACTTTACCAGAAGCAGGAAAACAGATGAAGGGTAAGAAAGCTGTTTTTAACCCTTTCATTTGTCAGAATGACTGAGATATACTTTTTCCATACAATATCAACACTATCAAGCAGACAAGAAATAAGAACTAAGAAAAATATCAATATATCAATTTGGTATTGCTTGATCCAATACCAAATTCTCTGTACTAAAATTATGAGCATTGCATGGAAGACAGTAAAGAGAATTGCTTTAGAGATCTTGGGAGTCAAATGATCAAAAGGTTATTTATTGGTAATAGTTAATTATTTGATCTTCTCAACAAAAATCTTATACTTCCAAGTTTTGTGGTTGAATATTGTTTCTTGATTTAAAATTTCACAAACCATGTTGATCTTTGTTTCCTTTTTCTCGTATTCATTGTCTTAATCTGAAATGATGGAAAACTGTCTGCATAAATTAATTGAACAGGTGCTAGTTTGAAAAAGTCGGACAAATGACTAATTTAAAACAGTATGCTACAGCTATGTGATTGTCCAAAAAAATTATTTTGAAATTGAAATTTATTTTATCTTATTTGTTACTTTCTCTTGACCTGTACAGATCCATTGTGGAAGAATTACGAAAAGTACTGTGTGCACTATGGCAGGGTGGAGGAGTCACTCACTCTCCTGATGCTCTGTTTTCTGTTGTGTGGAAAGTAGTCCCAAGATTCAGGTAAGTTACCTCTTTGTTACCTTTGATAGTGATGAGATGATAAAGAAAATCTACCCAGCAGTTTCATTAAGGTTTAGATCATGGGGGTCTCTGAATTTTGTACCAGGTGTTTTCATGCATTGGAGAATTGGAGTATTTTTCTGTCCAAAATGTGGCAATTATCCAAGAGAGGTGCTTTTTTTCTAAGTAAGTATGGTATTTTCTTGCCAGAACATTTGTTAATGAAAATTGTGGTTCAAATCACCTTTTTTACCACAGAGGCTACCAACAACAAGATGCCCATGAATTCATGCACTATCTGTTGGACAGATTACACAGTGAACTTCTTCTGTCTCCAAAAAGTTTTGGAACAACAGAAACCATCATTACAGGGATCTTTGGTGGTCTATTACATAGCGAGGTACACCAGAAATGGAGATATTACAATGATTTCTTATGAAACATTTTTATTTTATGTTAATGTTTCGATTTTTTTATCATTATTATTTTAAGGTCAAATGTTTAGTTTGTGGAACGGAGTCAAAGAAGTATGATCCATTTCTAGGTTAGTAGTTTATTTAGCATTTACCTTTTGACACCCAAGAGGGACAAGCATCAAATTTCACCTTGTCATATCAGCCCTGAATCACATCTTAAGGTCAGGAGAATAAAAGAAATGATCACCAATTAAAGAAGCTCTTGATCATTAAATAAAATCTCCTTTTCAGCATCTAAGGAAATGTGTAGAGGGCGTTGAGGAGAATTTGCATACTGATGTTAGGGTGTTAAGGCAGGGCGTAAAATTAAGTTTTTTTCCGGTAGCCACTTGGCTCCTAAATATTTTAAAGTGGTAGCCAATTCCAAAAAAGTTGGTGGCCATTATGACACACACAAAAAAGAATTTTTACCCTGTCACTGTACTAGATTTATCGTGTCATAGTGATACAGTCGTACAAACATCAAAAATGAGCCCGCTAAATTCGCACGAGCTACAAAGAGGACACTAGAATAGATCATATACAACATTATAGGTTACCTAAATCCAAGATGGCGTCTAGTGACAGTAGATTTACGTTTGACATCGTGCATGTGCTGCGTTTTGGAAACGAGCTTAACGAGGAACTTTGCTGCAGATTTATCTTATCGAATCTTGAACAATCACTAGATCTCTAGCTAAGGTTTGATTAGAAATTCTAATCGCCAATTTGGCAACTAATTTTCAGGATTTGGTTGCCAAAGTGAAAAATTTAGTCGCATTGGCGCCTGTATTAGGCGCAATTTTACTCCCTGTAAGGGTTAATGAAATACCTGCAAGATGTGATTGTAGGAATTCCTACTAAGTCTTTGTCTTTGTTAATAACAGATTTGTCACTAGAAATTCCAGCAGAATTTCAAGTACGAAAATCAAAGACTAGAGATCCTCAAGTTTGTCGACTTCAAGGTGAGGATCAAGTACTTTATAGCATTAAAGTTATATCCACAAGACTACCCTCATGGGTTCTGTAGGAAAATTCATTACTTGATGAGGGAATTTGGCTTTAAATTGCTGACTAAAACCAATATTGCACGAATCTCAAAGCAATGAGTGTGGTATCGGTTTTCAAGTGCAATTTAACATAGAATTCACAAGTCAAGTAATGGATTTTTCTTGAATTGCATTATTGAATAAAAACGTAAAAAGAAGAAAGCATTACTTACAGTTTGTTAGGTATACATAGATGTGAAACAATATCACTTTGCCCCAATTTCAACTTTCAATTCCGCGGTAAATACCTCACCTCATCAACCAATCAGAATACAAGATTTTATTCAATAATGTGACTCTGTAATTATGTCAGTTAATGATGCAGTAAGCTTTGTTTCCTTTGGCCAAATCTTCCATTCACAACTAGTAAAGATGTATTTAAAGAAATCCTTATTATAATCCATGTCATTGTTTTCCACACAGATGATGTGTTATTTTGTGGAGAAAGTAAACACTTTCTCTGGAATGATATGTTATTTTCTCAATTTGTGTTTGCAGATTGCTTGTATCACTTTATATCACTTGAAGAACTAGCAGAGTCTGAACTATACATTTGTCCAAATTGTAAAAAGAGACAGAAGTCTACCAAGAAATTTTGGATTAAAAGACTACCAAATGTGAGAAAATTTCCCTTGTTCTAACTCATTCACTCTGCTTTTTTTATTGCTGACACATAAATGTTGTTATTGAAACTGTAGAAGTAACACAGAAAACTCCTGAACCCATAATAGAAACTCGTTAGCATCTCATCATCACTGTTCCCTCTCAGAGAATTGTTCTAGTCACATTTTTGTGTCAAGCTGTCTGTTTTGAACCAAATAGCAACAACTTGCTGTTTCTTATATTTATCCTTTTTGTCTTTTTTTTAAGCCTTTTCTTTTCAGCTTTATTCTGATATTTTGCAAATTTAACTTAGCCTGATAAATTCTTGATGGTTTTGTAGGTGTTGTGTTTGCATCTGAAACGTTTCAAATTTCAAGCGTTTCATCGGAGCAAAGTTGATACTTATGTACAGTTCCCCATGAGGGGACTAGACATGAGTCCTTATTGTTTACAAGACCAGGTAAGAACCAATAACCTTGTGAATGTAATATTGAACTAAGGGTATTGGCAATGTCTTAAATGTCGCTTATGAGATGTTGAATGGCCATTTAAAGTTTTAGAACAACAACAAGTTTCTTTTATTTGGTGATTAAAGAGATCGGCATACCATAATGATTGGATTTAGCGCCTGGAGAATATATACTTTCGTACCTCAAAGAAGGGTGCATATTTGAAACAGGGCACTTATTGTGGGACAAGGTGCCTCTTTCCTTTTTCAGAAACAGCAGAATGTGCAAAACATTTAGTTTTAATGTTTATTTGAAAAGGGTCAACCAAACTGGAAAACAGACTTATTGTCCCTGGATCCTTCCTGGCTTAGAACAACCAGCCAAGGAATCAGCATAAAATTTGAGGACCAGATCATTTGCTTGAAAGAACTGCACAACTCACATGAACATAATACTTGAGAGACTGAGATGAAGACCACCATTTTTTCGTAAATTCATTGGGGGTACTTATTGGAACAAGGGTGCCAAATTGAATCACTACAGTATTTACAATCAAGATCGATATTTTATTTTTTTGGTGGAAGTCCTGTGATAGCTTTTTACAGTTCTGTTGACTGATTGAAGTCCTTTTGACTTTGATGAATAGTGTTTCTTTGTTATTAGTTAATGTGTCATATTGCTGTTGCAGAGGAAAAGTGCAGTTGCTTAATTCTTTCTGCCCTGGTTAATTACATGTGTATCTCTCGTCAGGATGAGAACCCAAAGGCATTTCTTTTTGATCTTGCGGCTGTTGTTGTTCATCATGGCAGTGGGTAAGAATTTACGTGTAACTGTGATTTATAATTGTAGGAGTGTCACTTTTATAGCAAAAAGAATATTTTTAAAATTACTTGTTATTTGTTTGCAGAGTTAGTGCGGGACATTACACAACGTTTGCTTTTCACGATGGTAAGTAAGATAGGTTTGGTAGTTTCATGTGTCTCTACCATGTGGCCAAAAGCTAGTATTCATATCAATAAAATTACAGGAGATTTTAAAGAACTGTAAGCTTTTGGACTCCTTAGAGAATGTGTGATTTGTATCTAGGAAATTAGTATTAATTGATTGAGAGGACATTAAGATGGTAACCTATCAAGTTATTTTGGTATTTCTCGTATTGGTTAGATACAGTGGAAACGTAAAGCAAAAATCTTGCATTATCGTCCTTATACTTTTGGAGCAATTTAAGCATTAACATCAAATGAAACGGAAAATATCCAGGCATTAACAATACTTAAGGTGCTTCTTTATATCAACTTTCTGATGGGGAAAACATACAGGCGATATTACAAATCATGACTCTTTTACTATGTTTATGGAAGAGTGGTGTGTCATGGTTCCTGGACAGTGGTGAACTCATGACTGGAAATTTTCATTCTTAGGACTATGGTATAATTTTAATGACAGCAATGTAACACAAACAGAAGAAGGCCATGTGAGTGGAAGCAAAGGCTATATCTTCTTTTACACACGAAGGCACCCCAACATGGCCATCCTGGACAAGATTAGGAAATAAATACAATTTTTTCAGTTGTCAGTGATCTATTCAAATTTCTTTGCTATTTTTTCAATTGCTGCTAATCCTAGGCTTGATGCCAAAGGAGAAAAAGGAATGAGACATTCTGTTGAAACTCCCCACAATATTAGATTTATTCTTCTGTTTATCTTCTATTTGTTGGGAAATCTCTTGTATTATTAGCTTTCAGTAAAAGTGATCTGTGAGAAGAATTTGGAGAGTTTGACACTTGTAAATAGTCAAATCTAAATCAATCCCGTATGAGCCTGTGTAATTAAAGTAGAAAGGAGACAGGAAGAGAGAGAAGCTTTACCAGAGGCGTCGTGTAAATAAGAATAAAGTGCACTTTGAAAACTTGGTGTGTAACCTGATGTGTGTAGAGTGCTTTTCAAAAAATGACTATCTGTCGACCAAACCCCAGGGTTATCTCATCAGCTATTTAAATCTAGGTGAGTGTTGCAAGTAGCCAAAGGGGAAAGGAGCGAATTTTCGTGAGTGGGTGATTAAGCAATAGCCCATTTGTGGATTACCCTTGGCCTCATTTTCAAAACGAGTCCTCGTGCTAATCCTTTCATATGATAAGTTTCCATTCACATGCAAATTAAACTCATTTTCACAAGAATGGTTGAGCACGAGGACTCGTTTTGAAAGTGAGGCCAAGGGTAAATTCGCAAATGAGCTATTGACCTTATTGCGGGTACAATGAATATATGAAGTTCATATATTTTGAACTGCGGTTGTAGATACTTATGATGCACGATTCTCGCAGTAGAGAGCACTATTTATGCAATAGCGAAAATCAGACCTGAAAAAAATCAGGCCTGTAAGGGATTCGAACCACTGACCTCTGCGATACTAGTGCAGCGCTCTACTAATTGAGCTAACAAGCCAACTGGGAGCAGGCCGTTAAGTTGATTCGTAATAAACCCGTGATGATAAATCAGGTACAATGAATATATGAAGTTCATATATTTTGAACTGCGGTTGTAGATACTTATGATGCACGATTCTCGCAGTAGAGAGC